CTAGCCCTAGTCGTGCCTTGCAAAAAATCGCAAAATCCTAAAAGGATTGTACGTCTCTTGTCGAAAGGTCACAAGCTCGCTCTTCGCACCTCGCAACCAATGATCCGACGATTCTACGATCCAACAAGCTGCAAGCTGCAAAGATCGCGCGTCGACCTCTCAGCTAAGGTCATGCAAGCATATTTATGGCATTGTCATACATAGCAAGGACATACATATGCAGGGTGTATCGCGAAACGGTCTCCGAAAATCCCCAGCACGTTCGGGGGGCTAGAGTAGACCCGTGGGACTACCCCTGTGCATGGCGGTCTATATTATACCATTACCGGTACTAGGACGGTGTATTTATGTTTGAAACAGAGTGTTCTGTTCTATATCATGTGAGTGTACAATGCGAGGTCGTTGCAAAATATACCGGTACATCTGGACAGCGCGAGGATCTGCGCGCTGTACATCTAACTCAATCGCTCATCAGCGGACACGTTTATTCACTGTGCCACATCGATGGTCGAAGACGGTCGCTTTTAGCCTCAGGGATGCATGGAAGAAAGTCCAAGCACTCGCGATCGGGCCGTCGATCGCTCGCTCCAAATCTATTTTGGGTGAGTGATGCATCCAAACGAGTACAGTATTTAGGAGGGTAAACAGTATTTAGGAGGGTAAAGGGTACTGTGTAATTTGGAGGGTAAAGGTTTTGATTGGCTGGTTTGTGAGTTTGCGGATTTTTTCAAGATTCTCGCATTCAAACAGATGAAGTCGCATTTTTCAATTGGTCCATTTTTTTATATTGGCCCGTAAATTGCCGCTCGCCATTAGTGGAATGGAAATAGTGTGTAGTGTGACGCTGCCTACGTGTAGGCCTCCGTCCCCACGGCTCGGTCCGGTCCGACTTCGAGCCGGCTCGAAAAATGGGGCCTGAGCCGGTCTAGGTCCGCTTGACACTTACAGCCGACAGTCCGGACCAAGCCGCGGGTGCCTACTACCGTGCGTGTTCAACCTGTCGCGTTCGCGTTCATTGAAGCCGCATGCAAGCCAGGCAGTGCTGCGCCAGGCTTTCTTTTGCACTTGTCGAAGCGCGCACGCGCTCAGTGTTGCGGGTGCTGTCCTCCATTGGTGATACATGCTTGTCGTGCAGGCGAGGGACGTCAGGATGACGCTGCGGTGCCCCTACTGGCAGGCATCAATAATATTAGTAAATGCTCGCAACGCTCGCAATAAAGTAAAGCAATCTATTTTCATATTCTTGATGCCAGGGGCACCTCAATAAGTTTATTGCCACCGTATCGTGGTGCTGCAGTGCGAGGGCATCATTCGCTACATATTAAGGGCGTTGAGGGGTTACTTGTGTTCCAATGCACAGCCACCGCAGCCAGCAACAGCTTTTCCTCAATCAAGACCGAACTACTTGGAGCAACAACCGTGTTGGTGCCCGCCATGCCGGTGGTGGGCGAGGCGGGTTGGTTATTTGACTGACACTACCAATTTGGAAATGGCTTGAGCTGTTTGCTCTGCGCCTAGATCTTGGATCGTGTGCGATCTTGTAACTGGTCTTCTACATCGCTCGGCCTTGCGCGGATAACCTCTTCCACTTCTAGGAAACGGCCGACTCGGCGGCGGCGGCGCGACGCCACGATAGTAGCGACGTATCGGGCTCATCGTTGGTTCGAGCTATGCGCTCACGTCATCGACATCGTCGCCACATCGTGAACCTCCCTGGGGCCCACGAGGTTGCTGCAAGCCAACTGCGAACGCGTGGGCCTGCGAACAGCGTGGCGGACGTACGGCGTAGTCCATGCCTTCGACTTCGTGTTCCAAGTCTTCAGCCTCAAACTTGGTCCATCCGCTCCATGTTTGTACTCGTCGTCGTCGGTAATAACAATGCCATCGTTTGGGTGCACGGCGGCTGTCGCAACCGACGACAATCGCAAGTTTAGGGAATGTCAGCGTGACGTTGCACAAGGGACCACAAGCAAGGGTATATAACGTCTATTTTATACCCTTGCCACAAGCCAGCACAGCGGTGGGCGCCAATGAAACGCCCCAGACCAACTCCAACGAGGAGTTGAGTCTGCTTGACGCGCTGCTCGTCACGACCAACGAGACCTTGAGCGTCGGGTACGAGATGGTTGCTTTGAAGGTCGTGTTGGGCATGGGCACAGACGCCGGCCGTCGTCGAGAGGACTACGTTCTTGGGCGACCATTGGAGTGTTGAGTGCGCACGGTTGGTTGCTCATGCACGAGTAGTAGAGTGCGAGGGCGTCATCGACTTGAGCGACGTGGTCGCCAGCGGTGTTTGAGGGTCGACATATAGTGAGGAGCCGCAAGCCCTTAGAGAGTGTCGCTTGTTCAATGAGAAGGACGTTAGGTACCTCAAAAGAGTCCCAAGGGTTTGGGCTCCCACCATCTAAAAGCTGCCGGTATGGAATTCGCCGCAATAATCACGCAAGGTGCCAATGGATCCGGAAATTCCGGGGTCATCCGGATATGCGGTATCAGTCCGAATACGTGGTTTTTAACCGGATATGCGTCATTCGGCGAGCATATCGTCATTGCCATGGCCCGTAGCAGCGCACAGCTCGAGGTCGACCGCCTCAACCTTTCGCTGCACTACGAGAAGCTGCTTCTGGCGCCGCCGACGCGCCACCTGCCCGTGACGATCCTCACGGGCTTTCTCGGCAGCGGCAAGACGACGCTGCTGCGCCACATCCTCAAGAACCGCCTCAACCTGCGCGTGTGCTGCTGCGTGAGCGACGTCGCTGCGCTCAACGTCGACGAGCAGCTCATCACCGAGTCCAAGACGCGCACGTCGACGGGGTTCCTCATGGAGAACGGCTGCATGTGCTGCCCCGTGCGCCTCGACGTCGACAACACGAACGAGTTCAAAGACGTGGTGTGGCAGGTGCTCAGCCAAGACGACATGACCATGGACTACCTCGTGGTCGAGACCAGCGGCACGACGGACCCCCTCGCGCTCATCCAGGCCATCCAAGCGCGCTTTGGCAAGCTCACGCGCGCCCGTCTCGACTCGGTCGTGACCGTCGTCGATGCCGATGCCCTTCTCATCGACGCCGACAACAACGTGGCACCGTGCGCCGTCGCGCTCAACCAGCTCAAGTGCGCCGACGTCGTGCTTCTCAACAAGATCGACTTGCTCCAGTCGCCAGGTCCGAATCCCTTGGCGTCCATCGACCTGTCTCATTGAGTGCTAGAACGCAAGGCGCGGGCACAGGAGGTCGTGCGCGCTTGGACGCCTGCGGGAGCGCACATCTACGAGACGACGCACTGCGACGTGTACCTTCCGCGCATCCTTGACATTGCGCCGCCCGAGGGCATCTACAACTCGGTGAGCCACGAGCGCGTCCAGGCGCACTGGAACACGTCGGCGGCCTCGACGCTTCGCCGTACTCAGTACGACGACGCAACGAAGAGCAGCATGGTGACGGTAATATCCGTAGGGTCGACAATCACGAGTATACGCCGAGCCACACGGAGTGGTCCACGGAAGTCCTCGAGTCCAAGACGCCCGTGTCGCTGCCGGCGCTGTCGGCGTGGATCGGCGGCAAGCTCCCGCCGTCGACGCTGCGCGCCAAAGGGATCTTTTACCTCGCGGAGGACCCGATCCCACCGCTATGTGCTTGCAGTCTCTAGTGGCAAGCAACGGTACTCTCTTGTCTATTTCCTCGCGGCTTATCCATGTACGATGATGCAAAGGCTCGAGATGACCAACACGGGCAAGTGGCCCTGCGCGCCGTCGACGCAGCTGGCCGTCATTGGCACCAGCTTCGAGTCGGCGTCGGTCCAAGCCGACTTGCAGTCGTTGATCGCGAAGGACGCGCTCGAGTCGCACCAAGCGGCGTGCGTTGCGCAACTCCGCGCCGACGACCGCTTCGAGCTCGTAAGCGACGGGCCCAGCGAGGTATTGCGACTTGAATCTCGACGCGCCTCGAGCTACATGTCGCTTGCTGCAGGTGCGCTTCCGCCTTGTGTGCCCCGTCAACTCGCTCAACGAGACCATGATCAAGCACCACCACCACATTGACATGAAGGCGCTCAATCTCCAATTGGCAACCGAAGTGAACGCGAGCGGCGATGGGGCCCTATTGCTCGCGCTGCCAGGAGGCGACGAAAGCATTGTTTTGGTCGCGTCGGCCGCGGGGTCCCGTACCCTCCTGAGCATGTGGCCGACTATCGATGCGCGCGCCAAAATCATCTTGTACGACGTGCGCAAGAAGCTCTCCGAGTGCATGTGTGGCTTCTGACCTTCTTCATTCCAAGATAAAACCAACAGGAAACCACACTCGACCGCACTGGAAATTTTGATAGAACCCGTAGTAAGCACACTAGAGCTGAGAGATCCCACATCGGTCAAAGAAGATCCCGGCAACATTCTGTTTTTGGGCACAGCTTGATCGGCAAGGAGCATTTGGTGGGCTCTCATGCGGCGTATGACGCATGTGTGCACTGATATTGTCTATGGCTTTACGATATTGACGTATCGCTACGTGCCTGACATTAACCAGCGTACTTTCTCCAAACCGCTGGAGATGTTTTAACTGCTGCCAATGATGTACTGCAGGTGGGCGTAGGTGCGTCGAGCCGTACAGTATCTTTGACAGCTCATTCTGCGTTTTTTCAGCCGTTCCGCAAGCGGAACCAACCGACAAGTGGCCGCGTCCTCAGAGGCGCGGCCGTCGGTCATCCAGGCTGCGTCAGAAGGAATCCTCGTCAATCGACGCCTTCTCCTGCTGCGAGCCGCGCCATCAGACCAAGCGATGCTGAGCGATGAGGAACTTATCGCCACATTGTACAAGACGACGTATCCAAGGAAGACGACGACATGCCCCAGCCAACCAACAACAAAAACAACGGTCAGGGGGACCACAACCAACATCAGATCCAACACAGAACCAACATGAGCACCGAGCACCGAGCACCGAGCACCGAGCACCGAGCACCGAGCACCGAGCACCGAGCAAAGAGCACAAAGCACAAACAACAAACAAAGCACAAATCAGCCAGCCGCCGCCACCACCGCCACCGTCATCAGCCATCGAACTTCAGCAGGAAGATCCATATCCTCTGACCCCGAAACTCAAGCTATCGACCCAATCAAAGAATTCAAATCCAACGCGCCACGCCGCCAAAACGAAAACAAACGTACCCAGCCAACCGCCCAGCTCCATGCCTCCAGAACAAGTCAACATACATGCCCAGCGCCAAACCGAAAACACTTTCATGTACGACGACCGACCAAGGCGCCGAAACAAAATAACTCGACCAGTGTCGGCACCACCACCAGCCTTCAACTTCATCAACATCAGACCGCCCGACACTTCGCGTCGGTCGCCAAGCCAACGACTTCCATCAGGCCGCGAGTTCAAGTGAGCACCACCCGTGTACCTTCGGGTGCTGCAGCTCCAGGTCAGCCTACGGTCGCATCCAAGTGGAACTCCGCAACACGGGTCTGGCTCAAGACCGCGGACGCTGCTGGTCGATCAAGTAGCTTGACGATGGACCACATAGAAACAGGTCCCGTGCGGGGTGAGCTGGTAGGAACTTTTGACTATATATGAGCGTGTTTCGGGTTAGCTTCGTTGTTACAAAGAGTTTGCACACGTATAAACTAGCATTCTTCATCTTCTTCATTCGTTTACTGGGCTGTGGCTGTGCAGGCGGCGGCGCGGGGGCTCGTCTTGTTCTTCTGTAGTCGCCCGAGGGCGCTTGTGGCCGCGGGTGAGGCTCATGACGACACGCTGTGTGAAAACCTTCCAGACTTTGCCGTCGGCGGCAAAGCTATGCAGTTGGTTGAAGTCCTCGAGAGACGCCAGGGACTGAGGCGGCGTCGATGATTGGAGGTCGCGGTGCAGGACGATCGGCAACGTGATCTTGGTGCGGCCTAAAAAACGGGGTGCTTCGGGCGTGGCAAAGAAGCGTGCGGCGGCAATGTTGACAGGGACGCCTTCCTTCAGGCACAGCACGTGGCCCAGCAGGCGCCAGTGCTGGCGGGCAACGATCGCGATCAGCGGGGCGCTGTCGTAGCCCTTGTAGAGCGCGACGTCGCCGAGCGTGTTCGGGTGAAAGATACCTAGAGGAGGCGCAGCTGCCGGCGATGGAAGCTGTCAAGGCCCGCAAGGCTCGTTGGCGTCAGGGTCCACGTGCCACAGTTGAACTTTTGAATGCGAAGAGTTGTTTACCGGTATTTGCGACGACGGCGCGTTGGCCTATACAAAAGTCAACGCGCGACCTTCGCTGCGCTGCGGTGCGCAGACTTTTCCGGGCCAACGCGCCGTCGTCGCTTGCTGCAGTCTTCAATGTGACATCGCACCTGGGTCATCTAGGTCACCCGGTTCTTCCACAGCATCTTTGACGCCTTCGTCATGAGTCGAGTTGGCCTCCGTCGATGGGGTCGCTGCGGCGGGTTGCGAACGCTTCGCGAGTCTTGTCTTCCTTCGGGTCTCTTGCTTCCTCTGCGCTTGCCACTCCCGAAAGAGCTCCGCCTCGTACACCGTTCGTGGCTCCACCTGCTTCCCATGCAGCCCCATGGTTCTAGAGGGCGTCCTTGCCATGACGGTCGTCTCCGCGCGTAACTGTCAAAGCGCAGTGCGAGCTCTTTTTAGGTGCGGCTGTGATATTGGCGTCATGTACCCCGATAAGTGCGTCGTACTTAATAGATACAA